CCATGACATCTCCAGTAGAGGCTCGTTTACTATGAAACTGATAGATAACCTTCTGGGCTCTCACTTGCATAGGCCATTCTAAGTCCCCATGAGGGACCCTAGAATTGTGGTTTTTTAAAAATTGCAAAATATAGGATATTTTTACTGCAATTGGCTAAGACCACTGATTCTTTCCACTCCAACTTCTCCTCTGTCATACTTTCCCTTGTTTTGGGTGGTGTTGGAAGAGCCACAAGCCTTTCAGGGATCTAGCTTAGGGAGATTTGAGGACAGCGTTACTTTGGTTTAGTGGGATATAGTTATATGATGTACAGTCATTTCCGTGGATAGTTAAGTTATTCGTAGCAAGGTATCACATGCTAGTAAATGGCAGAGCTAAGACTTAGACCTGTCTTAGTCTGACCATATAATGCACTTAACACTTCCATTAGACTGCCCTTCATGTGCTTAGTGATCCATCAGCAGACCTTCTTATGACTGTCTATCTTCAAGCTCCTGTCAGGAAGTGATAGTATGTCCCTACTCCTTTCTGGCTCCGAGAATTTTTTTTTTTTTTTTAACTTTTTGCTGCCTCGTGTCTTACCAATACAACATACTTTACATACTTTATCCAAACTGGACTGCTTACACTTGCTGGAATAGAAGGTTGCTCAGTCTCTTCCCTTAGCTAATTATTATATTTTACTGATTCTTGTTGATTTGATATAAAACACTGACAATGACAAAGATAATAGAAAAGTTGCATGTTACTACAATGAGGCCATCAATGACCCATTAGTTAATGAGTATCAATTCAAAGTGTAATTATAATTAATCATTATACACAAAAAACCCTTAAAATCTCATAGTTCATATATAAAAGAAATATGAAAGAGATTTGCCCAAATTTGATAACAATCCTACAAAATTAAATGACATTTCTAATAAGTTTTGAAGCTGAAAGAAAACTTTGTTAGTAATTAAAAACGAATTTTAATCAATCATTCTAGGAGAATCAAAACTACAAAGAGGTATCACCTCACACCAGTCAGAATGGGCATCATCAAAGTCTACAAATAATAAATGCTGCAGGGGGTGTGGAAAAAAAGGAACCCTCCTACACTGTTGGTGGGAATGTAAATTGGTACAGCCAATATGGAGAACAGTATGAAGGTTCCTTAAAAAACTAAAAACAGAGCTACTGTATGATCTTGCAATCCCACTCCTGGGCATATATCTGAAGAAAACCATAATTTGAAAAGATACATGCACCCCAGTGTTCACAGAAGCACTATTTACAATAGCTAAGACATGGAAGCAACCTAAGTGCTCATCGTCAGATGAATAAAGAAGATGTGGTACATATATACAATGGAATGATACTCAGCCATGAAAAAGAATGAAATAATGCTGTTTGCAGCAACATGGGTGGACCTAGAGATTATCATACTAAATGAAGTCAGAAAGAGAAAGACAAATATCATACGATATCACTTATATATCATATGGTATCGCTTATATGTAAAATCTAAAAAAATGATAAAAATAAACTTATTTACAAAACAGAGGCAGACCCACCAAACTTATGCTTACCAAAGTGGAAAGCAGGAGGAGGATAAATTAGGAGTTTGGGATTAAAATATACATAATACTATATATAAAATAGATAACTGACAAGCGTCTACTATATAGTACAAGGTAATATACCCAATATCTCGTAATAACCTATAATGGAGGAGAATGTAAAAAAATCTATATCTATTATCTATATATCTATATATCTATCTATATATATACGTAACTGCATCACTTTGCTGTACACCTGAAACTAACACAACATTCATAAATCAACTATATTTCAATAAAATGATTTTAAAAAAAGAAAAAAAATTCTGGAAGAAAAATTTATTTTTCTATCTTTTGTATAGAAGATGTTTTTACAAAATTGTCTTCATATGAAAAGGTAGAATGAATTATCATGCTATTTTCTAGATGTTACAATGTTTGTACTATGTGTCAACTTTGTAAAGTGTGTAATTTGTTGTAAACATCTACGTCTTTATTCCTGTCCTGCCCCTAGGTTCTTCAGAACCATTTTTATTTTTAGATTCCATATATATGTGTTAGCATATGGTATTTGTTTTTCTCTTTCTGACTTACTTCACTCTATATGACAGACTCTAGGTCCATCCACCACACTACAAATAACTCAATTTCATTTCTTTTTATGGCTGAGTAATATTCCATTGTATATATGTGCCACATCTTCTTTATCCATTCATCTGTCGATGGACACTTAGGTTGCTTCCATGTCCTATTATAAATAGAGCTGCAATGAACATTGCGATACATGACTCTTTTTGAGTTATGGTTTTCCCAGGGTATATGCCCAGTAGTGGAATTGCTGGGTCATATGGTAGTTCTATTTTTAGTTTTTTAAGGAACCTCCATACTGTTCTCCATAGTGGCTGTATCAATTTACATTCCCAACAACAGTGTAGGAGGGTTCCCTTTTCTCCACACCCTCTCCAGAATTTTTTGTTTGTAGATTTTTTGATGATGGCCATTCTGACCAGGGTGATGTGATACCTCATTGTAGTTCTGATTTGCATTTCTCTTTAGTGATGTTGAGCATCCTTTCATGTGTTTGTTGGCAATCTGTATATCTTCTTTGAAGAAATGTCTATTTAGGTCTTCTGCCACTTTTGGAGTGGGTTGTTTGTTTCCTTGATACTGAGCTGCATAAGTTGCTTATATATTTTGGAGATTAATCCTTTGTCAGTTGCTTCATTTGCAAATATTTTCTCCCTTTCTGAGGGTCATCATTTAGTCTTGTTTATGGTTTCCTTTGCTGTGGAAAAGCTTTTAAGTTTCATTAGGTCCAATTTGTTTATTTTTGGCTTTATTTCCATTTTTCTAGGAGATGGGTCAAAAAGGATCTTGTGATTTATGTCATAGAGTGCTCTGCCTATGTTTTCCTGTAAGAGTTTTATAGTGCTTGGCCTTGCGTTTAAGTCTTTAATCCATTTTGAGTTTATTTTTGTGTACGGTGTTAGGGAGTGTTCTAATTTCATTCTTTTACATTTATCTGTCCAGTTTTCCCAGCAGCACTTACTGAAGAGGCTGTCTTTTCTCCATTGTATATTCTTGCCTCCTTTGTCAAAGATAAGGTGACCATATGTGCGTGGGTTTATCTCTGGGTTTTCTATCCTGTTCCATTGATCTATATTTCTGTTTTTGTGCCAGTACCAGACTGTCTTGATTACTGTAGCTCTGTGGTATGCTCTGATGTCAGGGAGCCTGATTCCTCCACCTCCATTTTTCTTTCTCAAGATTGCTTTGGCTATTTGGAGTCTTTTGTATTTCCATACAAACTGTGAAATTTTTTGTTCTAGTTCTGTGAAAAATGCCATTGGCAATTTGATAGGGATGGCATTGAATCTGTAGATTGTTTTGGGTAGTATAGTCATTTTCACAATGATGATTATTCAAATCAAAGAACATGCTATATCTCTTCATCTGTTTGTATCATCTTTGATTTCTTTCATCAGTGTCTTATAATTTTCTTCATACAGGTCTTTTGTCTCCTTGGGTAGGTTTATTCCTAGGTATTTTATTCTTTTCATTGCAGTGGTATATGGGAGTGTTTCTTTAATTTCTCTTTTAGATTTTTCATCGTAAGTGTATAGGAATGCAAGAGATTTCTGTGCATTAATTTTGTATCCTGCTACTTTACCAAATTCATTGATTAGCTCTAGTAGTTTTCTGGTAGCATTTTTCGGATTCTCTATGTATAGTATCATGTCATCTGCAAACAATGACAGCTTTACTTCTTCTTTTCAATTTGGATTCCTTTTCTTTTTCCTCTTTGATTGCTGAGGCTAAAACTTCCAAAATTATGTTGAATAATAGTGGTGAGAGAGGGCAACCTTGCCTATTTCCTGGTCTTACTGGAAATGTTTTCAGTTTTTCACCATTAAGAACGATGTGGGCTGTGGGTTTGTCATATATGGCCTTTATTTTGTTGCAGTAAGTTCCCTCTATGCTTACTTTCTAGAGAGGTTTTATCATAAATGGGTGCTGAATTTTGTCAAAAGCTTTCTCTGCATCTATTGAGATGATCATATGATTTTTCTCCAATTTATTAATATGGTTTATCACATTGATTGATTTGGGTATATTGAAGAATCCTTGCCTCCCTGGTATAAACCCTACTTGATCATGGTGTATGATCCTTTTAATGTGCTGTTGGATTCTGTTTGCTAGTATTTTGTTGAGGATTTTTGCATCTATGTTCAACAGTGATATTTGCCTGTAGTTTTCTTTTCTTCTGACATCTTTGTCTGGTTTTGGTATCAGGGTGATGGTGGCCTCATAGAATGAGTTTGAGAGTGTTCCTCCCTCTGCTTTATTTTGTAAGAGTTTGAGAGGGGTAAGTGTTAGCTCTCCTGTAAATGTTTGTTAGAATTCGCCTGTGAAGCCATCTGGTCCTGGGCTTTTGCTTGTTGGAAGATTTTCGATCCCAGTTTCAATTTCAGTGCTTGTGATTGGTCTGCTCATATTTTTATTTCTTCCTGGTTCAGTCTCGGAAGGTTGTGCTTTTCTAAGAATTTGTACATTTCTTCCAGGCTGTCCATTTTATTGACATGTAGTTGCTTATAGTAATCTCTCATGATCCCTTGTATTTCTGCAGTGTCAGTTTTTACTTCTCCTTTTTCATTTCTAAATCTGTTGATTTGAGTACTCTCCCTTGTTTCTTGATGAGTGTGGCTAACGTTTTATAAATTTTATTTATCTTCTCAAAGAACCAGCTTTTAGTTTTATTGATCTTTGCTATTGTTGCCTTCATTTCTTTTTCATTTATTTCTGATCTGATCTTTATGATTTGTTTTCTTCTGCTAACTTTGGGGTTTTTTTGTTCTTCTTTCTCTAATTGCTTTAGGTGTAAGGTTAGGTTGTTTATTTGAGATGTTTCTTATTTCTTGAGGTAGGATTGTGTTGTTATAAACTTCCCTCTTAGAACTGCTTTTGCTGCATCCCATAGGTTTTGGGTAGCCGTGTTTTCATTGTCATGTGTTTCTAGGTAGTTTTTGAATTCCTCTTTGATTTCTTCAGTGATCTCTTGGTTGATTAGTAGTGTACTGTTCAGTCTCCATAGCGTTGTGGTCAGAATAGATACTTGATACGATTGCAATGTTCTTAAATTTATCAAGGCTTGATTTGTGACCCAAGATATGATCTATCCTGAAGAATGTTCCATGAACACTTCAGAATAAAGTGTATTATGTTGCTTTTGGGTGGAATGTCCTATAAATATCAACTAAGTCCTTCCCTTTTAATGTATCATTTAAAGCTTGTGTTTCCTTATTATATTTTCATTTTTGATGATCCGTTCATTGGTGAAAGTAGGGTGTTAATGTCCCCTACTATTATTGTGTTACTGTCGATTTCCCCTTTTATGGCTGTTAGCATTTGCCTTATGTATTGATGTGCTCCTATGCTGGGTGAATAAATATTTACAATTGTTTTATCTTATTCTTGTAATGATCCCTTGATCATTACGTAGTGTCCTTCTTTGTCTCTTGTAATAGTCTTTATTTTAAAGTCTGTTTTGTCTGATATGAGAATTGCTACTCCAGCTTTCTTTTGATTTCCATTTGCATGGAATATCTTTTTCCATCCCCTCACTTTCAGTCTGTATGTGTCCCTAGTGGGTCTCTTGTAGACAGCATATATATGGGTCTTGTTTTTGTATCCATTCAGCATGTCTATGTCTTTTGGTTGGAGCATTTAATCCATTTACATTTAACATAGTTATCGATATGTTTGTTCCTATTACCATTTTCTTAATTGTTTTGTGTTTGTTTTGTAGGTCTTTTCCTTCTCTTGTGTTTCCTGCCTAGAGAAGTTCCTTTAGCATTTGTTGTAAAGCTGGTTTGGTGGTGCTGAATTCTCTTAGCTTTTGCTTGTCTGTGAAGGTTTTATTTTCTCTGTCGAATCTGAATGAGATCCTTGCTGGGTAAAGTAATTTCAGTTGTAGGTTTTTCCCTTTCATCACTTTAAATATGTCCTGCCACTCCCTTCTGGCTTGCAGAGTTTCTTCTGAAAGATCAGCTGTTAACCTTATGGGAGTTCCCTTGTATGTTATTTGTTGCTTTTCCCTTGCTTCCTTCAATATTTTTTCTCTGTATTTAATTTTTGATAGTTTGATTAATGTGTCTTGGTGCATTTCTCCTTGGATTTACCCTGTATGGGACCCTCTGTGATTCCTGGACTTGATTGACTATTTCGTTCCCCACATTAGGGAAGTTTTCTTACTATAATCTCTTGAAATATTTTCTCATACTCTTTCTTTTTCTCTTCTTCTTCTGGGACCCCTATAATTCGAATGTTGGTGCATTTAATGTTGTCCCAGAGGTCTCTGAGACTGTCCTCAATTCTTTTCATTCTTTTTTCTTTATTCTGCTCTGTAGTAGTTATTTCCACTATTTTACCTTCAAGGTCACTTATCCGTTCTTCTGCTCCAGTTTTTCTGCTATTGATTCCTTCTAGAGATATTTTGAATTTCATTTATTGTGTTGTTCATCATTGTTCGTTTGCTCTTTAGTTCTTCTAGGTCCTTGTTAAATGTTTCTTGTATTTTCTCCATTCTATTTCCAAGATATTGGATCAACTTTACTGTCATTATTCTGAATTCTTTTTCAGATAGACTGCCTATTTTCTCTTCATTTGTTTGGTCTGGTGAGTTTTTACCTTGATCCTTCAACTGCTGTGTATTTCTCTGTCTTCTCATTTTGCTTAACTTACTGTATTTTGGGGTCTCCTTTTCACAGGCTGCACCCATTGTTTTTGGTGTCTGCCTCCAGTGGGTAAGGTTGGTTCAGTGGGTTGCGTAGGCTTCCTGTTGGAGGGGAATTGTGCCTGTGTTCTGGTGCATGAGGCTGAATCTTGTCTTTCTGGTGGGCAGGATCATGTCTGGTGGTGTGTTTTGGGGTGCCTGTGAAGTTACTATGATTTTAGGCAGCCTCTCTGCTAATGGGTGGGGTTGTGTTCCTGTCTTGCTAGTTGTTTGCCATGGGGTATCCCACACTAGAACTTGCTGGCCATTGGGTGGAGCTGGGTCTTAGCATTGAGACAGAGATCTCTGGGAGAGGTCTCGCTGATTGATATTACATGGGGCCAGGAGGTCTCTGGTGGTCCAATGTCCTGAACTTGGCTCTCCTGCCTCAGAGGCTCAGGTCTGACACCAGTCCAGAGAACCAAGACCTTCTCAGCCACATGGCTCAGAAGAAATGGGAGAAAAAAAAGGAAAGAAAGAAAGAAAAGGAAAAAAAGAAAAGAAATGAAAAGAAAAGAGAAAAGAACAGAAAAGATATAAAGTTATTGAAATAAATTTTTTTTAAATATTATTAATATTAAAAAAATTTTAAAGTAATTAAAAAAAAAGAAGAGAGCAACCAAACCAATAAACAAATCCACCAATGTTAACAAGCGCTAAAATCTAAACTAATATAAACATAAAAATCAGAAACTGGTCAGTCGCATACAGCAAACCCCAAGTCTACAGTTGCTCCTAACGTCCACTGCCTCAATTTTGGGATGACTCATTGTCTATTCAGGTATTCCACAGACGCAGGGTATATCAAGTGGATTGTGGAGATTTAATCCACTGCTCCTGAGGCTGCATGGAGAAGTTTCCCTTTCTCTTCTTTGTTAGCACAGCTCCTGGTGTTCAGCTTTGGACTGGACTTGCCTCTGCTTGTAGGTCATCCTCTGACGTCTGTTCCTTGCCCAGCCAGGAGGGGGTTAAAGGAGCGGCTGATTACGGGGCTCTGGCTCACTCAGGCTGGGCAGAGGGAGGGGTATGGAATGCACAGTTAGTGTGCGGAGTCAGAGGCCAGTGTGACGTTGCAACAGCCTGAGGTATGCCGTGTGTTCTCCCGGGGAAGTTGTCCCTGGATCACATGATCCTGGCAGTGAAAGGCAGCACAGGCTCCTGGGAGGGGAGGTGTGGACAGTGACCTGTGCTTGCACACAGGATTCTTGGTGGCTGCAGCAGCAGCCTTAGCATTTCATGCCTGTCTCTAGTGTCTGTGATGATAGCCATGGCTCTCGCCTGTCCCTGAAGCTCATTTAAGCAGTGCTCTGAATCTCCTCTCCTTATGCACCCTGAAAACAATGGTCCCTTGCCTCTTTGGCAGGTCCAGACTCTTCCCGAACTCCCTCCTGGCTAGCTCTGGGACACTAGCCCCCTTCAGGCTGTGTTCACACTGCCAACCCCAGTCCTCTCCCTGGGATCTGACCTCCGAAGCCCAAGCCTCAGCTCTCAGCCCCCACCCGCCCCGGTGGGTGGGCAGACAAGCCTCGCAGGCTGGTGAGTGCTGGTCCGCACCAATCCTCTCTGTGGGAATCTCTCAGCTTTTGCCTCTGCACCCCTGTTGCTGCGCTTTCTTCTCTGGCTCCCATGCTTTCCCCCCACCCCCACCTTACCCCCGTCTCCACCAGTGAAGGGGCTTCATAGTGTTTGGAAAGTTTTCCTCCTTCACAGCTCTCTCCCCAAGGTGTAGGTCCCATCCCTATGCTTTTGTCTCTGTTTTTTCTTTTACCCTGCCCAGGTACGTGGGGAGTTTCTTGCCTTTTGGGAAGTCTGAGGTCTTCTGCCAGTGTTCAGTAGGTGTTCCACAGGAGTTGTTCCACATGTAGATGTATTTCTGATGTATTTGTGGGGAGAAATGTGATCTCCACGTCTTACTCCTCTGCCATCTTGAAGGTCCTCTCCTCCCATATACTTTAGATTATGTCTAAATAATTTATAATACCTTAATACAATGTAAATGCTATGTAAATAGTTGCTGGAATTTGGCAAATTCAAGGTTTGCTTTTATGGAACTTTCTGGAATTTTTTGGAATATCCCTGATCCACATCTGGTTGAATCCACATATGTGGAACCAGTGGATATGGAACCCACAGATAAAAGGCTGACTGTATATAGTATTTCTACCATACAGATACAACAGATGTAAATAACCTCGAGTACAGATAATAGTAAAAGGTAATGAAATAATTAGGTAATGATAAGTTTTAAGAATTTATTACTTTTACTTTTAATTTGATTTATTTAATGACACATTTATATGATTTAATTTTTAATATCAACAAGTTTGCAAAATTCTTAAAAGTTTAATCCTCAGCTCTCATGATCCAGTATGAGCCAGCTGCAGTATACCACTGTGTTTATCACATAAAGAAATACTTGAAGAAACAAAAAAAATTTATGTTAATGTATTCAATCAGTATATATTTTGGAAATCTGTCCCATTACAAACATTGGAATTATAGAGGAGAGTCAGCTCTATTGTTTGCTGTAAATAAAGTCACTGTATCATGTGAGTCACAGATACTTATGCAAGAAACTGTGCCACATGATGAAAATTGTTAACAGTCCTGACATGTAAAGAGTGTTATGGGAATCCCCTGGAGAAAACAAGCTGCAGGAAACTGTGGAGTAAGGTTGGTTACACCTAGTTGGCGAACATAAAGTAAAAGAAATAACATGAGCCAAAAAGACGAAAAAGATATGAAAGACCATGACAAGTGTAGTGAGGTGGGGCTGGGCTAGTGAAGAATCTGTGGATCAAGTAGATTTCAAGTAAAATAAGTTAGAGAAAAAATATTTTAAAGTTAATACAGGTTACTGAAAATGTGAAATAAATTTCCAATTTTGAGGTATTAGGAAGGAAAGTGGTCTAAAGAAAAGTATAATAGACCAGCAAGGATATTTGAGAAGAGGAATAGGAAACACACAAAGGCAAAGCTTCATAGCCACTGCAAAAAAATAGCTAATTAATTAAACACAGAACCCCAACAGATATTGGAGTTTGAGGAATACTGTTTTTGATTATTAAAGGAAAAATAAATTTGGGGAGTAAAAAGATTTTATTTATTAGAAGCATGAAAATACACTAAAACCTTCCTCCTTGCCTTCTCAGTCTACTGTATCTTGGAGACCTTCCTATTGGAACAAATATGATATAGTACCTCTAAAACAGGTTCTTATGCCTTATCGTGAACATAATAAAAGTAAGACTAGCTATAGAAAATAAAAATGTTAAGAACAGGTGTCAGAAAGAAAGAAACAAAGAAAGAAATAAAGAAAGAAGGAAGGAAACAAAGAGGGGGGGGAGGGAGGAAAAGAGGAAAGAGAAAAGAAAAGAAAATTCTGTTGTAAGAACAGACTACCTTAAAAGATTTTCAAGAATTGCTGAGTATTCCAAAACCCTAAAGTAAGCTCAGATTTTGTAAGTGGAATCTCTCAGTTCCAGAATATAAGGTCTTCATGAAAAGGAGCAGATCTGAGTTCTGGAAGCATCTGTTTCAGTTGATGAGTTCAGTCTGAGGTTCTAGGCAGTCTGCTGTCCCTTTACTTAATGCAGCCTTACAAGTGGCCAACTCACAGTTGACATCCGTCAAGCGAGCCAAGCTCATTCAAAACACTCTTTAGACATGATACATGCTCAATGATGGGAACCAACTACTCATTTTAACTGTCCTGATTAGACACTATTTAACCATTTTGGTTGGCAACCTTCAACTCAATTCAGCTAAACAGAGTGCTCTGAAGTAAACATTTTGTTAAAACGTGTCATCAGGATAATTCGGGTTTACTACTGACACACTATTCTATGTCCTTCTCTCTCCAGGTGTTTTGGCTTCTTATAAATACCAAATTGTTACTCTTGGTTCAATGTCCTAATGGCAACCTAGGAACTTGGAAACGTTAATGTAACTTCAAAAAACTACTCACTCCTATAAAGTAGCTTGGATCCACAGAAGATGGTACAATGTGCTTTCTGTATGATTTTTAGTGGCTGCATGAAGTTGTCTCTGTGTTTAAGAGTGTGTTTCTGTACCAAGGAACATTTAAAAGGTGCAAAAGTTATAGTAGCTATAGTGTTCCAGCTAAGGAATCATGAGATCCCAAAAAATCATTAAAAACTAAGGCCCAGGGCTTCCCTGGTGGCGCAGTGGTTGGGAGTCCGCCTGCCGATGCAGGGGACATAGGTTCGTGCCCTGGTCCGGGAGGATCCCACATGCCGCGGAGCGGCTGGGCCTGTGAGCCATGGCCGCTGAGCCTGCGCGTCCGGAGCCTATGCTCCACAGCAGGAGAAGCCACAACAGTGAGAGGCCTGCGTACCGCAAAAAAAAAAAAAAAAAAAAAAAAACTAAGGCCCAAAGTGACCACAAAGTCAACATGACAGAGTAAGGACTAGAATCTGAATAGAGGTTACTTTTAACTTGGCCTTCAGATATCAGGTAGTCATTACATGAGATATAGGACCTGTTTTCCTTTGCGGAATAAGTTATACAGCCAAATTTTGCCCTAGATTTTCTAGTGATACTTGAAAAAGTTACTTTCATTTTCCTCCTAGCTTCACAACAATCTTTATTTATTATTATTCCAACTTTGTGTATTTTGGTGTTTGCAATTTTTTGAACAAGATTGAGAATCCCTAAATTAATGACCAGCAGCTTACTTCTAGAATGTCTAAAGGCAAGAAATACCTAAACATGTCGAGGTTCCTTCATCCATTGGATTACTTTCAAATAGAAGATCAAGAAAAGTTATTACCGGCTAAATAGACATATTTCAGGAGGTCAGAAAGAGAGCTATTGTCAGATCCTGTCTGATGTAGCACCTTAAGAGGAGGACAGAACTAAGGTTAGGAGGAGCCAAGATACAACCTTCCTATAGTCCAAGTAGCCCTGGAAAGGAAGGTTCATCTTCAGGAAACCAGACAACAGGAAGGTCCAAACCAGGTGCAGATGACTTCTGGAGCCAATCCAGTTAATCCAAGTAAAGAGAAGGAGGTAACCCTTTTACGTGTTAGACATTGAAAGAAACATATTCCACAGGGCATGAGTGGTTAGAATGGAATCCTTGAATTAGATGAAGGAAGACAGACCTGGAAAGCCGTTTTATTCTTAGAACCACCAAAATTTGTATTACATGTCAAAATTTCTTTCCTAGGCAGTAAGAGGACCTGGAACCCTAAAATCTGTGGTTCTGGATTCAGAACCTAGAAGTCACATCAAGGAAGCCTGAGAACAAAGGAAAGGTTTCCAATTTCTCATTCTTCCCCTCAACCCCCTACTATCACTTCTAAATTCCTGTTCCCTGTTTTGATTTTGGTATAAGTATGGTACAAGTCAAAATGACAGATTGTTCAAACAACCTAACAATAATATGGTAATATGCTTTTTAAAAGTACCCAGGTTCTAAACCAAAGGATTCTAGGCTATGAAAAAAAGGAGGAAATAAAGTAATTGGGTGATAGAATCTGGAGCAACTCCCTGAGCAAACTGGATAGCTATCCCTGCTTTTATCATATTCCATTAAACTATGGCTATATGGATCAGATGGTGTCCTAATGGCTTAAGGCTAACATCCTTGAGTGAACTATGAGTGACACCTTTATTAGCAAGGTTAATAGTACTTAACCCATTTTTTGCATCACAGACCTCTTTGAAAATATCATGAAAGCTTCTGACACTTAATCCACCATAATACACATATGCATTTACACGCAAAAATGTGCATACACTCTCCTTAAAGTTTGAAGAGCGTAGCTCATGAAGTGCTACAAGCAATATTAGTGCAAAAAATTCTTTAAAAACCCATGAAACCAACAAAGAAACAACTTAAATGAAACAGGAGTTAAACTATTAATATCATAAAGAAAAAGCCATCGAGTGGTACCTTAGTTTTCCTCCCAGCTGCTGGTGAGGAATGGTAGTCACGGCAACACTTGCACTTGTGTCTCTCAGCTATTAGAAAAATGGTTTGATTTATTTATGCATAATTTTCTACAACATCTGATGATATGAAGGACAGAGTGCTGAGAGGAAGGACTTGTTGCTATTTCATGATTAGAACCAACATAGGATCTACTGTCAGCTTGCACACAGCAACTGGGTCCCTGGTGAGGGGCCCCAATAACAGTCATAAATACAGTGCCAAAGGAGTGGGCTGAATCCCAAAATGGAGTGTGAGTTCTGTGCAGAACTCCCTTCTGCCTTGTAGGTCATGAAAGGGTGAAGGAAAGGAAGAAAATCTTCTGCCTTTAGGTCACCTGTGCTGGCAAGACCAAAAGTCCCCATTACCTGAGAAGGAAAGCCAGTTGGGCAGGTCACACTGCTCTGGACAGTGCCCTCACCGCCTCGTCCAACTTTTCCACTTGTGGCCTCATTTTGGTTTAATCTGGAACATAAGATCAAGAATATTTTTGACCAAATGATAAAATGTAAGTGGGCAGTTTGGTTTCAAAATGTCAGTTCATGTCACATGAAGATTTTACAGTTGTCTTTTTGAGCGGAGGAGAATTTTCCCTCAAATGACAGGGATTATGGAGAAGTGGGCAGGAGAGATTGAAAAAGCATGCACGGAAGTGCTCATTATTTCTTGTCTTCTTTCTCAGGACAAACATTAGAATAGACAACTCGTGTGCTGTGGGTGAAATGACTCCTAGACTTGGGGAAGTATCAGTAATTTTGGTAGTTGTTTTGTTGTTTTTTTTTTCTTGAGAGAGAAAAAAACATTTAAAATTACTTTCTGATTGAATTCTTCTTTTAATTCAGAAAAAAAATCCAGAAATATTTACATCCTTCCCTAATACCTCTGCAATAGTAAAGCACATTTAAGTCTGGTGTATTTTTTTACTACAGTGTCAAGCCATATTAGCTCAATATTTAAATGTAAGAGCAGACATAGTGGGTCACATTTGCTCAGATTTACTCCAACCTATATTCAGTAAAAAAGAAAATTCCCTAGATATATTAGGAATTACAATATTGGAAGCAAATTAGGAGGAATGTTTGTATGTACAGTACAAATTATCTTGCACTGGCAAAGATCGTGACTAGTTTTCAAGTTGTGTAATTGTACTTTCCATAGGAATAGCATTTTATCCTTTTTTTCAAAGTGCTTTAGCATATACAGTATCCTCACGATAAACTTATAAGTAGGTTAGGTGGTTATTATCCCATTTTTTTCTGTGGGTAAATGGAAACCTGGGGAAGATCTAAGACGTCTACTTGTTCAAGATTATTTACAGACAACAGCAAGACATGAGCTATCCTGACTTACTATCCAAGTGCTCTCTCTCTCTCTCTCTCACTCACTCTTGCTCTCTCCCTCACTTTTCCTCTCACTTTGAATCTCTCTCTCTGCTTCTTACCACATTATATCTGAATAGTTCTTGAGACCTTTAAACGTAGGACCAAAAAGACATTTGGTTTCTTCTCTCCATTCTCTGGCTTCTCCCTTTTATCCTTAAAAACTGTCATCAGAAGAGATTCTTCCTAATTTCGAGCTCTGTGTTCCCTGCCTCCAACGTGGAAAAAAAGATGACAGTTCTACTAGATCTGGCTGAGTATGTTATAGCAAGACTCATCGTAGCTACACTAAATCACAGGACTTTAATTAACACAGAAAAAATGAATGCCTTTGATTTCACTAAATATAAAATAATCAAGTTTATAAGAGATCAGAATTTACTATATTTACTGTTTTTTTAAATAAACAAGGGAGTATCTCAGCCAC